GGGGGGGGTTCTGGCCCAAGCACTAATCAATAGTCAAAATGACTTGTTGCGACATGCAACCCAATCTAGCATAAGTCACAACACTACTCTATGGCCCACATCACTCATCAATCTGCTCAAGTCTCAATAGCTCATATCTCATAAAAACATAATCTAATTATACAACACAGAATAACATATTATGCCACAAATATAGCTCAAACTCGTGTCACGTACTAGGACACCAACAACATGTGAGAAATCATATCAAAAGTGTAAAGAATCAGAGATATATCATACATATATATATCTATCATGACTGAACAGTATGACTACGACTAAGGCAAATAGCTAAACAAGGTAAAATAACCTTATCATGTCTCAAACAATTAAGCAGATAACTTAGACATGATTTCTAGCATAAATAATAATTCACGTAGTCATACAAATGGAGAAAACATGACATCAACGAAGCATGATAGCAAATCAAGGTATATGATAGCCTAAAAACTACCAGGATCATGAATACCCCGTGCACGCACATACTTCTGTCACCTAGCACGTGCGCCACCCCCATACATCTCAAATATCATAGAATTACCCTCAAATCCAAGTTTAGATATGTTACTTACCTCGAATAAGTCAAATCAATACCGAGCAAGTCAAATAATACTCTAAAAATGCCATCTCGCACGAATTGACCATTGAATGTCTCGAAACTAGCCGAAAGCAATTCAAATACATCAACTAATGCCATAGTAAACAAACCCAAATGATATAGTTCGAATCTTTAATGTAATATCACAGTCAACCAAAATAGTCAACCCAGACTCGCACCTCGGAATTTGACAAAAGTCGCAAATTACGATAACTCATTCAAATACGAGTCCAACCATACTAATTTTATTCAAATCCGACTCCGAATCGATGTTCAAAATTCAATTATTTATTTTAGAAAAGTTTGTATAAAAACCCCTAATTTCTCTTTTAGATTCACCCATTAAATACCAAAATCAAATATGGAATCATGTAACATAAGCAAATCCGAGTTAAAAATACTTATCCTAATCCAAATCATGAAATTCCCTTCAAGATCACCCAAATCCGAGCTCTATAATTCAAAATGTGATAAAATAACCAAAATCTTTGAAATAAAGTACTTTATAACACTGCTTCAGGGATACCCATCGCGATTGCGGGACTACCCTTGCGATCTCGAAGCACAAAACAGATCAACCTCGAAGAAACCCTACGCGTATGCGGCCCCAGGCTCCCGATCGCGTTTCACATCTGCACAGTCACTCGCGAACAAGGACACTCTAGGTCGAGCGCAAAGAAGAACCCATTATGACCTCCCCAGCCTAGCTCAACACTACGCGAATGTGTAGTCCCAAATGTAGACGCAAAGGCTTAAAGCCCCAACCATCATGAATGCAGACACTCTAGGGAGAACGCGACCTACTTCCATAATACTATGCGATCGCGAAGAACACCTTAAACCTCAGAAACCAGGAATATCAACAAGAGACAAAATGGTCCAAAATCATTCCAAAACTCGCCCGACCACTTTGGGCCTGTCCGAACATACCAACAAGTCTCAAAACATAACACAGACCTACTCGAGGCCTCAAATCACACATAATAATATCAAAACCACGAATCGCCGATCTAGATCAATCTCTTAAGTTCATAAAGTTTAAGCTTCGAACCTAGCATCTGATTCAAGACTAACTAATCCGGAATCCAACCAAACTTTGAACACAAGTTTCAAATGACTTAACAAACATATTCCAAGTTCCGTAATAACAATCCGTACCCAATATC